AGTGTAAGAAGAACTCCCCTCTCATTGGCTGTCAGACGTCGATGTAGCAGTCATGCCTACGACGGGATAGGAGGAGAAGGGCGAGGATTGGGACAAAAATCCTGAGTTGGAACAATGGAAAAACTAGCACGAAACACCAGGTTCTTTGAAAGAAGTAGTCCCTCAAAGCAGCGGAGTCGCCATTGAAAAGGCAAATGAATGAATATATAGGGGCAGAGCAGCAACTGTCCGCCTACCCAAAATGCCAATTAATCTTGGTCGCATTAATGTCGCCTTCTCCTAGGGAAACATACTGACATAGTCGCTCTGAGCCCCTTTTTACCAGATTGAGAAAATGTTGTTGCCCCGCAGAATTCAAGAAACTGCGAGGCTTCGGGGGCCCTCGATATCGCTAGCACCAGCCCGATAGAAGCTGCCGATTTAACCTCAGGGCACGGCCTGACTTAAGGATCCCGATCACTCCAAAAGCAAATTTCGAAAGGCTAACATCGAAAGTCGAGAGGTTAAAATCGTGAGAGCAAAGGAACAAAAAGAAAACGGAAAGAAGAAAAATACCTCTTTTTACATTGCCAAAAACGTATCTACAAGAGACATCATTACAAAATCCATCCCCCGGGGATTACATACACATAAAGACTACTCTTCATCTCCGTTATCTTCGTCCTCATCAGGGAAAATCAAAAGTGCCACTTCCCTCTCCAATTCACGTGCCTCCACGAGATCAGCTGATAGATCGACGCCCTTGGCATCAATCTCCTCCAGGGTTTTTCTCATTGCCTCCGCCCTGGCATGTTTAATAACCCGAGCTAGTTTCTGATCAACTGCTATCGATATGTCACGAGCTATTTTGTGCGCCGTGGCCGCATCCTCCAGATAAGTAGCAGCGTTTCTTTCAATCTTGGACTTGGCCGCATTCAATGCAGCGATCTCCTTGCGAGTGTCCTCGAGAAGATCGTGAGATGAAGCCAGTTCCGCAGCCGATACCTCATTTTGCTTCCTCAGCCTGAGGATCTCCGCGTTCAGTCGACTGATCTGCAAATCATTTTGCTAAACCTGCAAAAGGAAAGTAAGCCGATCTACATCGAAGTATGGGTGAAAAGGTTGGGTACAAGCAGGACGGAATACCTGCGCAGCGAGATCGGCCTTTTTCCCGGAACGCTCTCTCCATAGCGGCCCGGAGCTCTCCTGATTCTTTCTCTCCTCGGGCAGAATGAGCCTCCGATTCCCGCAGCATAGAATCAAGCTTCTTGCACTCCTTCTCACGGTAAGAAATCTCCTCGCGGAGCTGAAAGATGGCATGACCGTACATATCCTTGCACTACGGCACAACGAAAGAGTTAGAAAAGAAAAACGAAGAACGACACCCAAGACTAAAAGAGGCATACAAAAGACGACTACCACATGCTGCACGGATCTCTCCGCCGCTTTAACGGTGCCAGGAACATCAAGACCGATGTTATCACTAACACCGTCAAAGATGTTAGCAAGTGAGCCTCCCCCCATTGGGAGGAGTCCCCGTTTTGACGACGCTCGCATTTCGAGCGTCCCTCAGTTCCCGCGACGAGAGCTGAAAGCACGAGATAAAATCATTTATGTTGCCGATTTCCCCAAGAGGCAACCCCTGCTCCTGAAAAGCTCCGGGCCTAGACCCTTCAGGATCGATGGCGATGGTCCCCCTAGCGGAAACTGCGCCAAACTCAGTCATGCGATCCGAGGTCACATTAACACCCTCCTTGAGGGCCTTCGGTCTACGGGACCGACCCGAGTCGGCCGTCCCAGATTCAGCGGCCTCCGATCAAGACACCTGCGGGGCTCCCACATTCGACCTCGTCCTCCGCGCTAGCAGACACTCATCGTCATCCTCATCTACAGCATAGGGATTTGACCCTACAGTTGAAGCAGAGGTCCTGGTAGCGGCTTGATGCTTGAGTGGTCTGGGTTTCTTTGCCGCGGGAGGATCAATAGCCGCCTTACCTTCCATCTTCTTGCCCTTGCCGGGCTCTGACGCTGCCACTTCGCCGCCACGGGGCGGCCTTATTAGCATATTCTCGCTGAGACCTGAACAAACGCAGTAACCGCAAGCTGTCATCACAAAGGACGCAGGGAGAAATGCAAATCGGAGGCATAGGCGGTAAGGAAACTCTACCGTGATTCTTGGCCACCCATCGCTCCTTGGCCAGGTCAGTGCAGGACCGAACAAGATATGGGAACGCCTTGTCTAACTGTTGGATCCATCCTGGCAAATCCGGATCTGCCTCGGGGTACCAAGCAACGGCTGCAGGAGACGCAGAGAGGTCGTCATTCCAAAAGAAAAATATTACTTATAAAACACGGTTAAGGGAAAACTGCTTATGTTGTGTGTTCCATTTTTCTGGAAAAGGCATCCTCCGGGCCGGGATGATATCCGAGGTCTTTACCCGGACGAACCTGCTCATCCACCCTCACCTTTCCCTCGTCGACGCTCGAGAAAAATGATTTCTTGGATCGATGATGGATCCTAATCAAACCTCAATAAAATCGAGGGCTATACATCCTAATCAAATGGTTGAGGGTGAAGGTCTCGCCCTCAACCCCTTCGGTGAAATAATAAAGCATCAATACTATCCTCTAGAAAGAAGGGTAGATCTGACCAAGCGTCACTTGGTACTTGTCGCACAAGTCAAGGATAACCGGGTCTATCTCCGAGGGAGAGGATTCAGAAGAATTATCAGTACCCAAGGTGAAAGGGTAGGTATACACATGAAGGAAGCCGGCCTTATGGTCCATTATATTCTCACTAGGATCGGGAATCTCCACCTCCACTGCCTTGCCCCATCGATAGTCTGTCCTCGCCGTGTCTATGTTAGTCAGGACGCTAATATATCGGGACACATGTTCACACTGGTCCGGTGTGGATGAAGTGGCATCGATGGTAAAATCTTTCGACATATTAAGATTGGGTGGAGTGCACTGTTCCAAGGAAGGTATCGCTCTGGTTTTCTCTTTAGGCGATCAAGATGGTGATGCGGCTTCGTTCCGCCGAGGGACCGTTCTAGAAGTCCTAGCCATATCAGTGGTAAAATGTTTTCTCTAAAACAAGATGGAAGAGTGTAGAAGATGATGGGTTTCGACTCGCGAATTTGAAGATGCGGAGTATCAAGCAATCGATATATTTATAGGAACCGCTTGGGCAGCGGCAAGGACGAACGGATAGGCAGTTCGTGGGTTCCTCGATAATTGCATTTGATGGCGACCCTCGCACGATTTTCTGGGGTATGGCATTTAATGCTCTTATAGGTTGACGTTAGGACAATGATGCCCTCGAAATGGCAGTTCAAAATCGTTTCTTATTACATCATTATAAGAAACACAGAGACTATCTGTATGCGGTAAAATCGGAGGGCCTGATTTCTCTTCAGTAGGGCATTTCTGGGAGATCATTTCGAGACCTCGAGGCTGTGAGGTCGCAGTCGAGTTCTCCCACTCGAAGTCCACTAACACTCGGTCTAATGGCAATACCCGGGGATGGGGAGTTCCCAAGGCGTACAGCTAGCACCGGCAGAGCCTGGTGCTACCGAGTTGTCCCATCCCCCTTTTCTTCTCAATTAATGCTTTTGTACTATGTCAGGTTTCCCCACCTATATAAGGGGGATTCTTACTATTTTGTAAGGGACTGATGTTGCTCCAAAGACTCTACATGAAATATATGATAACTCTCTCTTTTTCTCTCTAATACACTCTCTTGATATTGTTGCTCTATCTTATTATCTTCGTACTCGTTCTACATTTATTGCTTGTTCTTGGCCATAAAGAGCCTCCTTTAACATTATTGCACCTGTTAGCCCTTCCCCGATTGCCCCTGATAGCTCGAGCCAGAGCTCGGGACCCGACCTCGACCCTAAATCGACCAGCTCGAGGCCCCGAACGGCTATCTCTCAGTTTGATTACCGCTTTATTTTAGCTCGCATCTCGCCCTTAAACTTCACACACATAACATCAACTGCTTCACAACTAGCATAAAAATAGATCACGTATTTTTAGAGTCCCATCAACAAATTTAGTTATTATTACCATTTTCACGGTAAACACATATGAATGGGCCTTAAAATGGCCAGCCCAACCCATCCCTAAGAGGGTCACGGGCTAGGGTGGGTCGGCCCTTCAATTTTTTTTTAGAAAAAAGAATTTATTTAAATCCTTAAATATTTTCTCGTGACATAGTCGATTAATCATGTGAACAATTTTTGTTTGCGTATAGCGTACAAAAAACTTGATATTTGAGAGGAATCTCGTAATTGAAATACAATTTCCCTATATCTCTACTTTTTTTTTTAAAGTTACATGAATATTTTCTTAATACTTTTCTTTCATTTTCCTCAGATTCAGGGATTGCTTCAATAAGTTTATATGCCGAGGTTTTTTTTAATTCAGGATTAACATTATTTGCTGATTTCATCATTATAGTCCATGAAATTTCTAAAACTCCTGAAATTTGCTAGTGGTCAATTTTTTTTTTGTGTGTGTATTTAAAATTGATCTTTTTCTATATGAAGAGTAGTTTAAATATTAATAATATATTAAAGTAATCCAAACTAATCATTGGCCACTTAAAGTAATATTTTCTTTTGAATAAAGATTATTATTGGCCACCTAAAACTTTTCGTGTTCATTATTAATTAAGCTAAATAAAAACTAATTTTGTTATATTACATGCATGTAAAAAAAATATAAATTCTAGTTGATATGGAAGGTAAATGAGCAATTTAGGGCTGGGGAATGAGGATTATAGTTAATAGTTTTTTTAATTTTTATTTTTTAAAATACTAAATATTTGATAGTTAATTAATTTTTAGCCACGGGCCGGCCCAAGCCCAGCCTCGGTCAGGCCTCAAGGGCCAGCAGACTGACTTGGATCGGGCTTATAAGCCCGATCCAAGTCTTATGGTGATAAGAGAAGAAGAGATTTAGTATTCACAATTGGAGACAAAGTGTTCCTATGAGTCTCCCCTATGAAAGGTGTAATGCGGTTTGGGAAAAGAGGCAAGTTGAGCCCCAGGTTTATAGGACCGTATGAGATACTAGACCGAGTGGGAGCGGTGGCTTATCGTTTGACACTTCCTCCTGAGTGGTCCTTTATTCATCCAGTTTTTAATGTCTCAATGCTGAGGAAATGTATATCAGACTCATCTCAGATAATCGAAGCCCCTACTATACCACTTGATGAAAAGTTGTCTTACGAGGAGGAGCCGATGGCAATTGTTGATAGACAAGTAAGAAAGCTACGGTCAAAAGAGATTGTGTTCGTTAAAGTCTTATGGAGAAATCATACCGTTGAAGAAGCCACTTGGGAAGTAGAAAAAGATATGCAAGCGAAGTATCCTCATTTGTCTCAGTCTACAGGTACGAACTTGGGTTAAATTCGGGGACCGAATTTCATAAGGAGGGGAGGATGTAATACCCTATATTTTTATAAGGGTGTATCGGTCATTAGCATAATAATAATAATAATAATAATAATAATAATAGTAATAATAATAATAATAATAATAATAATAATAAATACAAGAAAATTGGAAAAAAAAAAAAAAAAAAAGAAGAAGCCTATGTTTATATAATGAAGGGATGAAATTAATGGGCCGTAACCCATTTGGTCAACAGTAAGGTGAGATAGAAAAGAGGAACAAGGGATTTGGGAAAGAGAAATAAAATTAAAAAAAAAAAAACCTTCAGTCATCGTAAGCATCAAGCAGAAGGGTTTCTGGTGCTCCATCGTGCTCCATCCAATACCACGTTCTACTTAGAAGAATTAAATATCTTGACCCTCAACAGTAGAATTCCAGGTAACTACATATATGTTTCCTCCTATTTGAAGTAATATTATTTTTTTAAAGTTTAAATAAATATGAGGTTGTAATTTGATTGAGAATTGGGGAAAAACAACAGGAGGTTTTAGAATAAAGGAAGAAGGAGAAGATAGCAATGTATTTTAGTTAAACTAGTATCTTTATATACAGAAACTAGACCATATATAGTGAAATTTAATATTAGGATTGAGTTTGGAACTCGATTCTGGGTGGGTAACAGTAACATGAATTTCCATGTGAAACAAATTAGTTCCTGAATAACTTTGAACCTAGAATGAAGCAACTGTTGAGAATTTATTTTAATAGTATTATGATTGTTGAACAGACAATATCCTTAAGTGACGCTAAGATGTTGGTTACAAAAAATTGTAATTCGCTATCACTTAAATTTAGTGGATTTCGGGGTCAATTGATAGTAACACTAAACTTATATGATTTATAGATTGCACACGAATTGAGCAATTGGATCAATAAGAAGTCGAGCTTTGGTTAGTTGGCTTTGAGAGGTGAGTAGTAACCTTACCTCATTTGTATTTCTACAACTAGCATGATTTATATATGATTTTAATATGAGCATGTTACCGACTAATTTGAATCTGCATGTGGGACAAGTCCTTTACTGGATATGATACTACTATATTTATTTTAGACTATTATAGTTATTCTGAATATTCTCATTGTTACCGAATACGTTTTACTGTTACTTGAGATAAGATTTACCGTTATTGAAACGAAATTACATGATTTGATAAAAAAAAACCGAAATGCGCTATATTGTTTTAAAATATTTTCTACGAGTATATACGGATTACAGAGACAAGTATAAATGGGAGTAGACATTGAAGGATCCCGTAGCTAACGGCGGGTTCGTTAGACCTGGTGCACCTTGTAGTTACTGATTACCGTTATAGCCCTCGCTAGCGGGAAGGTAGAACTAGCATACCGTTACCGATTTCTCTCGAGTAGGACTACCGTTATATTTGACTTCTTGCAAAGAAGTCCACAGTTATACCGATTACATGATCCGTTCATTGAAACCTCCCAAATTTCAATATTGATATTATACACTGGTTACCGAGCTTATTACTGAATTGTTAATTATATTATACTACAAGAAAAGCGTGATGAGACTGGAAATTATTTATTGTTTCTGAATGAGCATTTTTATGTTATTTTTTATTTGGGATACTAGCATGTTTTCTGACTTGTCCCCAAATAAAAACGGTTGTGGTCAAGTGTTATTACTCACTGAGCTAGCGACTCATTCCCAGCTAATTTTTTTTACAGAGACAGCAGTTGACGCGGGCGAGGATTTCGTTAATTAGAGCGCACAGGTTGATAGTTCTTGGTGAGCCTCGCACTTGTTCGCGTGGGCGGAGATTTTATTATATTGTTATACTCTTTTCTTTGAACTCTTAGAGTCGCTCCATAGTAATTAATTTAGTGTGTCATGAGTATTCTTTTTGTTATTTTAGCCTTATGTTGAGTATCGTTCTCATTTATCAAAGTTGGAGATAAATTAGTATTTCTAGTGGTTACTTGGTGGTTTAGTTATGGTGGAGACTTGTATTGGTTAATTGACAAGTTGTCAATTGTTTGGTATGATATTATGTATGTTGGTTGCTGTATTTGAGACGTAAGGGTAAATTTTGGGATACGTACCAAAAACGAGGGGTAACTCGTGTCCGTATTTACTAGTAAAAACTACCGAG